GCCTCCCAAGAAGCCACCTCCCAAGAAGCCTCCCCCCTCCCCCTGGCCCCCTCGGTGCGCGCCGCCAAGAGGCTGGAGCCGGCCGGGGGCCCGAGGTGGCCTGGCACGGGTTCTGGCCGGCAGGAACGGGGGGGAGGCTCGAGGCTCTGGTCGGCGGCGAGCGAGGGGGGCAAGTGAGAAAGGGGCGGGCCTTCTCAGAAGTCTCGAAAGTGCCCCGGTCTTCTGAGAAGTTTCCTGAGCCTTCCTCGAAGACAGAAAAGACTTTTCGTAGGGCGCGAGGGCTTCTGAGAAGTCCCGCCGCCTTCTGAGAAGGCCTTCTCCTTCTCATTTCCCCCCCTCGCTCGCTGCCAACCTGGGTTTAGCAGGGTGTTGAGCCTTTTTCAGTCTCTGGGGGTCGTTCTCGGGCCCCAGGATGGTCAAAGACGGGCCCGGGGTACAACGTTGCACCAGATGGATCCTGGGAGGGGTCGAGGGACCGATTCTGAGAGGATTTGCCTTCATACCCCCCCCCCTCCCGGCATCCTCTCGGGGCCCAACGCTAGCTCAGACCCCCTGGCCGCCTCCGAGGTCGAGGATCGAGGTTCGAGGTTCGAGTTTTTTGGATTGCAGTTTGCTGTCTTCGGTTTTCGGGCCCTTTTCTCAGTTCCGCCCCTGTTCGTTCGAGGACTGCCGCAGACCACGAGAGCGGCCCGTGCGCCGCCTGGCGCGCAGCTGTCTGCTCGGCTCGGTCGGCCTTGTTTTCCCCGCCCGTGCCCCGAGTGGCTTCTCGTCGCCACTGCTGGATCCGCCTCGAGATTCAGGCCCCAAATGCACCCCTCGAGAGGTCCAGCCCTCATTGTTAGGTTGATTTGTTGCTTGTTGTTTCAATCCTCGTTCTCCTCTTTGTGCTCTTTCTCCCCGTCTCTTCGATTCCCGTTCCCTCCTAACCCTCCTTGTCCTCCTGCTGGGGAGGGGACGGATGTGGCAGTCGATGATCGAGGTCGAGGGTGGAAATCGAGGATCGAGGACCGAGGGCGAGCACGAGCGGCGGGAGCAGCAGGGAGGAGGGAGAAGTGGGTGAGGGGTGGAGCTGGTAGAGAAGGATGCGGAGAATGAATAGTGTGGGTATGAGGATGAAGCGAAGGAGGCGGAGGACAAGGAGGAGTGCGAAGTGGGTGAGGGGTGGAGCTGGTAGAGAAGGAAGCCGAGAATGAGGAATGTGGGTGTGAGGAGGAAGCGAAAGAGGTGGCGTGAGAATGAGGGGTGACTCTCTCCGTGGCGGCGGGTGACCCCCTGGGACTGGCTGCAGAGGCGCCCAACATGGAGGGCGCGGAGGCCGAGAGGTTCGATGGCCTCCTGCTGAACGTGGCGCAGCAGGCTGCCGCGCGGGGGATCACGCTAGGGGCCAAGAAGCCCTGACCGGACCAAGAATGAGGCAGTTCCTCAGGGTTGGTCCCCCCTCCTCCCCCCTCCTCCTCCTCCTCCTCCTCCTCCTCCTCCTCCTCCTCCTGCTCTTTCTCCTCTCCTCTCCCGTGTCGCGCGTTGCTGTGGGAGTCCCTCGTTGTCCCCGAACTGGCTCGGTGACGCGTGGCGCGAGCTCCGACGCCGCTGGCGTGTTGCGCCGTCCAGGGCCACGCTGTTGTTGTGGGCTGATGCGCGGCAGGGCCTGGGCCCCGACACCCTCGCGTCGCAAGAAACATCATGACGGAAGGCTTTTGGCAATTTTAGGCCCCGGGGATCCTGCTGGGCCCTGGGACCGTCAAGAAACGGCTCAGGATGCAGAGCCAGTTCCCAGGAAGGGGTCCCGACCTCTGGGGAGCCACGTTGTGAGAATGCATGACGTCGGATGCCTGGGCTCAATTCGTTCTTCTGTCCTCATCCAGGGGATCACGAGCGACGAACACGTCGACGGATGGGGAAGAGGGAGGATAGTGGAACAAACAATGACATAAACACAACAACTCGGAGGTCCGCGCGGATTTCTCGGATCGGCGCTGGGCCCCCCTGGCGGCGCCCGAGTTTGTTTTTCCCCACATCCAAAGTGGGGTTCTTGTTTTCTCTGCACACCCCGCGCAGGAACACTCACCCCACCCCCTCTCCTCTTCTGCCTCATCATGCGGATGAGAATTCCGTCGTCACTCATTCACACACACATCATCATCACTCGCACTCTCTCACACGCTCACGAACATCATCGTCATCATCGGTATCGGCATCATCCTCATTCAAACATCATCATCGCCACCACCACCCACAATCAATCATCATCCTCTTCACCACTCATCTTCACCACCACTCATCATCCTCATCCTCATCATCGTTGAGTAAAGTGTGAGGAAGTCTCAGGCGGGAGCCCCCTCCCAATGGGGCCCGCAGATCATGTTGGTAATCCGAGCGGGTCATCGGAACCCTGTAACTGTCGTCACTTTTGGGCTCCCCAGGCCTGAAAATGGAGGAAGTCTAAGGCGGGAGCCTCGTCTGTGAGTGAATTGGGAGGAAGTCTCAGGCGGGAGCTCCCTCCCTATGGGGCCCGCAGATTATGTTGGTAATCCGAGCGGGTCATCGGAACCCTGTAACTGTCGTCACTTTTGTGCTCCTCAAGCCTGAATATGGAGGAAGTCTCAGGCGGGAGCCTCGTCTGTGAGTGAATTGTGAAGAAGGCTCAAGCGGGAGCCCCCTCCCTATGGGGCCCGCAGATCATGTTGGTAATCCGAGCGGGTCATCGGAACCCTGTAACTGTCGTCATTTTTGGGCTCGTCAAGCCTGAATTTGGAGGAAGTCTCTGGCGGGAGCCTCGTCTTTGAGTGAATTGTGAAGAAGTCTCAGGCGGGAGCCCCCTCCCTATGGGGCCCGCAAATCATGTTGGTAATCCGAGCGGGTCATCGGAACCCTGTATCTGTCGTCACTTTTGGGCTCCTCAAGCCTGAATTCGGAGGAAGTCTCAGGCGGGAGCCTCGTCTGTGAGTGAACTGCGAGGAAGTCTCAGGCGGGAGCCCCCTCCCTATGGGGCCCGCAGATCAGGTTGGTAATCCGAGCGGGTCATCGGAACCCTGTAACTGTCGTCACTTTTGGGCTCGTCAAGCCTGAATTTGGAGGAAGTCTCTGGCGGGAGCCTCGTCTGTGAGTGAAATGGGAAGAAGTCTCAGGCGGGAGCCCCCTCCCTATGGGGCCCGCAGATCATGTTGGTAATCCGAGCGGGTCATCGGAATCCTGTAACTGTCGTCAATTTTGGGCTCCTCAAGCCTGAATATGGAGGAAGTCTCAGGCGGGAGCCTCGTCTGTGAGTGCACTGCGAGGAAGTCTCAGGCGGGAGCCCCCTCCCTATGGGGCCCGCAGATCATGTTGGTAATCCGAGCAGGTCATCCAAAACCTGTAACTGTCGTCAATGTTGGGTTCTCGCGCTGCCAGAACGCAGTTCCCAGGCCACACTTCGGATGCAACAAGGAAGTTTTTGGGCTCCTCAGGTCGCCGAGGTGCTGCGACAGGGCGCCGAAGGCGCCGACGACGACGGCCAGGCCGAGGCGCGGGCGCGGAGCTTGCTGATGTTCAGGCCCAGCGAAAGGGATTTCACATGGCAGAGCTCGGGGGCGCACAGCGTGCGCCGCTCGGGGTTCACCCTGACGCACGCGTCCTACCTGACCTCCACGCTGTCGCAGGGCCAGACGCCGCGCAAGGGCGTCACCATCGACTGCGCGAGAGACGAGGACGCTGGCCGCACGGGCATGTCGGACGAGCAGTGGTGGCTGCACCTCTACGTCATGTTCTCCCGCGCCACGTGCATGCGGAACATTCTGATCCTGCGGCCGCCGCCGCGAGAGTTCCTGGAGTGCGGGCCGCCGGCGTCCCTGCGGAAGGCGCTCCTGGAGTTCGACAAGAGAACGGTTTTGTCCAGGGCGGAGGCGAAGCATCTCGCGGCAGAGCTGGGCTTCGTGCTGCCTTCCGCCTGAGCGCGGCTGCGCCTCGCTCGAAGCCCGCGGGGTTGTCCCAACGGCTTGGTCTTGCGCGCCAACGGCTCGCGGGGTTGTCCCGACAGCCTGGCCCGCGGGGTTGTCCCAACGGCTGCGCGAAGTGACCTGTAGAGAACGCGCCTGTGCTGGCCGTGGCGGCGACGGCGCCGAGGAACATCGACATGCGCGCTCATGCAACAGGAAGGGGAGGAGGTGGCGGGGCGCGGAACAAACAGGGGGGCGAGGATGGGGACAACGTAAGGAGTGGAAGGGGGGCCCGCGCCAAGGCGAGAGTAAATATACGCAGAAGAGACAGCCAGGACGCCTCACCAACCACGAGGACGACGGTGATGGCTTTTTCCAGATTCGCCCAGAGGATTCTTATGTGGGGTTCTTCCGTCGGAGTAATTTTCTAGAGGAGGATCAAGTATCGAGGTTGCTGGACGTTCTCGGCTCCTAGGAGGAACAGGAGAGGCAGGGCAAGGGGAAGGAGGGAAGAGGAGGAGGAGGAGGAGGAGGAGGAGGATGAGGAAGGAAGGAGAGGAGGAGGGAGGAGGAGGAGGAGGAGAAGGAGAAGGAGAAGGAGAAGGAGGAGGAGGAGGAGGAGGAGGAGGAGGAGGAGGAGGAGGAGGAGGAGGAGAAGGAGGAGGAGGAGGAGGAGGAGGAGGAGTAGGAGGAGGAGAGGAGGAGGAGGAAGAGGAGGAGGAGGAGGAGGAGGAGGAGGAGGAGGAGGAGGGATGGTCACGAGCGGCGAGCATGTCCGTGTCCACGCCCTCGCGGGCTGGACCCCGAGGCGCGAGCCCCCTGGGTTCCGAGTCCCGCGGAGGCCCTCCGCGCGGGGCCCCCGCGCACGGCCGTCCTGCCTTCTGGCCGGGGAGTAACCTGCCTCCGAGGCCAGCGCAGAAGGCGGCGACGAGGTATTGGGCGGCGACCGACGAGGCACGGGGCCTCCTCCTCCTCCTCCTTCCTCCTCCTCTCTCTTTCCTCCTTTTCTTCCTCCTCCTCCTCCCTCCTCCTCCTCCCTCCTCCTCCTCCTCCTCTTTTTTCTTCACTCCTCCTCCTCCCTCCTCCTCCTCCTCCTTCTCCTCCTCCTCCCTCCTCCTCCTCCTCCTCCTCCTGCTCCTCCGCCTCCTCCCTCCTCCTCTTCCCGCTCCTCCTCCTCCTCATCTTCCTCCTCCTTCTCGTTCTCCTCCTCCATCAGGCGGCGACGAGGCGCGTGCCGGTGACGAGGCGCGAGGCAGCGGCGAGGCACGAGGCCAGCGAAGAGGGCGGCAGGGCGGCGACAAGGCACGCGGCGACGAATGCCCGGGCAGCGCCGCCCGATCACCGAACAGCATTTGCAAGGACCTCTTGGCTTGGCATCGCTCGGACGTGCGATGTTCATTTTCGTTCTCGGAGGGGACCATCGATGAGCATCCTGTGTCATCTCGCGGAAAAATTATCCTGCGACGTACCCAGCCCTTTCTACACAAGTGACAATTGCATTCAGGACCACTCAATACCGAAGGAAATTTCGGCGCCATGGTATAGTGGTGATGTGCGTAGGGCGTGCCTCCGCTGAGCCTCCCAGAAACCCATGCGCGCCAGGTGAGCCAAGCGCGCCAGGCGCGCCAGGCGCGCCAGGTGCGCCAGGTGCGCCAGGTGCGCCAGGTGCGCCAGGTGCGCCAGGTGCGCCAGGTGCGCCAGGCGCGCCAGGCGCGCCAGGCGCGCCAGGTGCGCCAGATGCGCCAGGCGCGCCAGGTGCGCCAAGTGTGCGCCAGGTGTGCGCCAGGTGTGCGCCCGGTGTGCCAGGTGCGCCAGGTGCGCCCAGCGCGCCAGGTGCGCCATGTGCGCCAGATGCGCCAGGTACGCCATGTGCGCCAGGCGCGCCAGGTGCGCCAGGTGCGCCAGGCGCGCCAGGCGCGCCAGGCGCGCCAGGTGCGCCAGGTGCGCCAGGCGCGCCAAGTGAGCCAGGTGCGCCAGGTGTGCGCCAGGTGTGCGCCAGGTGCGCCTAGCGCGCCAGGTGCGCCAGTTGCGCCAGGTGCGCCAGGTGTGCCAGGTGCGCCAGGTGCGCCAGATGCGCAAGGTGCGCCAGGTGCGCCAGGTGTGTGCCAGGTGCGCGCCAGGCGCGCCAGGTGCGCCGGGTGCGCCAGTTGCGCCAGGCGCGCCAGTTGCGCCATGCGCGCCAGGCGCGCCAGGTGCGCCAGGTGCGCCAGGTGTGCCAGGTGCGTCAGGTGCGCCCAGCGCGCCAGGTGCACCAGGTGCGCGCCAGGTGCTCCCAGCGCGCCAGGCGCGCCAGGTGCGCCCAACGCGTCAGGTGCGCGCCAGGTGCGCGCCAGGTGCGCGCCAGGCGCGCGCCATGTGCGCCAGTTGCGCCAGGTGTGCGCCACGTGTGCGCCAGGTGCGCGCCAGGTGCGCCAGGTGCGCCAGTTGCTCCAGGTGTGCCAGGTG